AATCCCTCTGTTCTAACCCTTGAATCCACTCCTCCATTTCTGTTTAGGAAAGGGCAGGTCTCCCATGAGTATCAACAACACATGATGTATATATAGTCAAGGTAAGACTGAGCAATTCCCCTTGTATTATGGTGGGGTAAAGTGACCAAGTATGAGGAGTAGGGTCCCCAAAGCCACTAGAAGATTCAGAGACATTCTCTGTTCCCACTAGTTCTTATTAGATTCTTCAGGACCACTGTGAAAACCCCTTAAGAAAAGAGTAAATTCAGAGTAGAAAAAATTGACAAGACATTCCAGGCACTGACCCCTGAGTCATGACACTGAGCAACCACAGGGCCATTCTGAATGTGGTATCTCTGTTTAGCTCAGAAGAGGTTATGTGGACAACATTCTCAGTTTGGGATGATTTCCTAAATGATTTTTTTCTGAGTGTTTGTTCTCTTGTCCCACGTAGACCTCCCATCTCTCCTGTGATCTGAGACTTTCCCTGATCTGTTCTGAGTACCCAGGGACCACCCAGGGCTGGTCAAGGAGAAAAGAACTTACAGTCTCTCAGAAATGAGATATGGTTTATGCTAAGACTGAGAACCTGTCTTGTTCATAAACTTTCCCAGTTGTTACTCCCCACATCAGACCAAGAAACTTCTCTATGTCCAGTTCAGGTAGGAGCTCATCCTTCTGATGTAGATTGTCCTCCATCTCTTTCCTTTCACATATCATGTGGGAAATGCAGGATAAAGGTGTGAGGCAGAGTGTTTGCAGTCCTGGCTCTCACAATAAGATGTGAAGTGTGTGTGTGTGTGTGTGTGTGTGTGTGTGTGTGTGAAGAAGAAGGAAAGAGTATATTATTGCACATCTCTGGGCTTTCACCTAATGTTTTCCCCAAAGGCATGGCTAACCCACACTAAGTATTGATTCCCAAGACTGACATATCTAAGCCTTACTTTTGTCCTCTTAACAAATAATAGTTATTGAGACAAACAGGACAGCTATATTGTGAGTAGAGAGAGGTTCAGCTCTTCCATCACTTTTGGAGACTCAAGAATCAATGGTGGATTGATGAGCACACCAAGGGCACGAAGAAGACATTCTTAGCTGTCTCTCTTCAAAAGTACAGTCTCATATGAACCCATACAGTCTCAGTTCCTCAATTTCACCCTGAAGAGAAATGTTGTAGACTCCACAAAGCAATAGGTTTTGAATGAGAATGCTGGATTTTATTTTGCTTAATGTGATCACTGTTATGTTCAAGTTCTTATGACAACTTCTATTTGGTAGTGTTGAGCTATGGATGTGAATCTGTTTTGAACAGAAGGAAAATATAGCAGGATTTGTACTTATTCTGCCAAGGTACCTCCTCCCATAGATACACTGTGGGTCCTGACACACTGAGAGCAAGGGTCTGAGAATACTGGTAAGTGGAGGGTGATGAGCAAAGGTTGTCACTGGATTGGTTTCTGCCTAGTATCTTATATCTGTCTGTGGCCTCCCCAAGATGCTCTTTTAGACTATCTCAAACATTTCTGAGTTCCATAAGCAGGGACTGTTATGAGCATTCCTAGAAATATCCATGTTGGCCTCCACCATCATGAGGGTGAATATCCTTCCGGATGACCCTCTGCAGGATTTGGAACTCACTCCTAGCCAATAATTGTAAATGTATAATGCTGATATGTCCTTTATCTCAGAAAGGTCTGTATCCCCTCACCTTAGACAATGAGCTCCATATGGTCACTGGCACCTGACAACAGGTACAGAGATGAGTTGATTTATTCATCGCACCTGCAGGTGCCCCTGATAGTGTAGGTCACAGAACTCAAGAAGAATACTAGAACCAACCCTATGATCTAGAGGGAGGGGTCCTGAATGCCCTGGCATGGCCCTGTGCTTCACCCTTGCACATGTCACCACAGCTGTGGGACAGACCCACTGCAGAATCAGGTGCTAGAGGATTCTTTGTTCAAGAGAAGCCAAGGCCAGAACTGAAAGAAACTTAAGGGTGTGGGCCTCCAACTTCCATTTATAAACAGAGGAGCAGTTTTCTGGAAACAGAAGGATTTGTCCAGTTCTGCATCTCTAGAAGCAACTGTATTAAGGCTATAACTAGCTACTGTCCATCAGGGCCCCACATTCCAATAGGGTCTTTACATAGCCTCCCTGGGTCTGACTCCATGCAGCTGAGATGTTTGCTCTCAGTTCCTTTAGTGGCAGGATGGGGAGGTGAGTGTCTGGGTTTCGTGTTCTTCATGTCATCCATCTGGCCCATCCTCCAGGGTGAGCCTAAATATCTCTGGATGCCAGCTTCTGTAGCACAAACTAATCCCTGGGTTTCTGAACTCTCCATTGTGATCTCTGTTCACTCCCACATGCATAAGCTGAAGTGACAGAGAAATGAGAACTTTTCTGGGCTAACAGCCAGAGGCTCCATGAGTATGCAGCATACTCCCTGCACTGAAGTGCCCGATACTCACCATCTGTTGGCATGGGCCTTGAGGGTGACAGGCTGGATACTCCAATGGATCCTAGGGAAAAAAAATCAAGAGAAGGGTACGAGGTAAAAATCCAGGGAACTGCCTCTGCTAACTTTTCAATACCTACCATGAAACTTCCCCATAATCCTCATGGTGTCTACCCCAAACATAGATTTCAATAAAAGGTGGAGTGGACATTACTTGAGAGACCGCTGCTGGCATCCACTTCTCTGGCAGGGAAAGTGACTTCTGACTAACCTTCCTCCTGTCCCCTTAATCCCACCCAAGTCAAGGGGTCTCTTAGGGTTTGAATTGTAAGTCACTCTGAGAGTTCAGGGTCACCTCACCTGAGACAATGAGTTCCACAGGGTCACTGGCATATGACAACAGGTAAGGAGATGGGTCCTGAGATCCATAGCACCTGTAGGTGCCTGAGAGGTCAGAGGTCACAGCACTCACGGAGAATTCTGCCTGGAACTCCCAGATTTGAAACATTGATTTTAGTCGCTGGGGTTGTTGGGCTGCTCCCTCCTTGGACAGAATGAAAGTGTCCACTTTGTATGGTGACTGACACAGCAGGGTCACGTTGTCTCCAGAGTGTACTGTGGAGTTAGGCTTCACTGAGAGGGAAGGACTGAAGGGAAGCTGTCCTAAAGAGAAGAGGGATGATGAGAGGCTGCCTTCAATATTCTGAGATGATAACTCATCCGGGTCTGCCCTGAGCACCTGGGACTCTGTCTCTCTTCTCTGCCTGTCCCCTCTCCTGCTTGTCTATGTATCTGATTCTGCCTAAGATCCCTGTCCCTCATCCCAGCCATCAGCTCCTTAACTCCCCCATGAGAACCCATGCACAGGTTAGGTACCTGAGGGAATCTATTTATCTCCTCACCTGTGATCAGGATATCCAGGGGGTCACTGGAGGCTGACCACTCAGAGGAGAGGTTGTGTGTACCATAGCATCTGTATTGGCCTGTAGTAGAGCTGCTCACAGGGCCCAGTGTGAAGTTGGCCAAGGAGAGGCCAGTCTGGGTCCACTGGCCCTCATGCTGTGTGAGGTCAGCTCCCCCTAACTTATACAGAGCAAATCTGTCATAGTTGATGTCAGAACCACACTGCAGGGTGAGGTTTTTCCCAGGGTCCAGGATCTGGCCTTGGTGAGTCAGCAAGGAGGGCTTCTTGGACAGACCTAGAGGGAAGGTGTCAGGCTAGTGATTGAGGAGCTGGTTTTTACCAAACACTGATCCCCTCCCTTCCTGCCCTGCACACGTCACTGCTTCTCCCCAGGAGTGGGGCTCTGGCTCAGCCACCAGGCTCCTCCTCAACCTCTCTCTACCTACAACTACCCAGTGGGACAGATTGGTCAATGGTGTGGCTGACTCACCTGAGATGTGTATTTCCAGGGGTCCACTGGGTACTGACCACCAGTGTGGGGCATGCTTGTAGTAACCGTAGCATCTGAATGTCCCTCTGTGGTCTGGTGTTACATGATCTATAGAGAACAAGGCTTGGTACTGCATAATACTGTGTATGAACTGTGAGTTCATGGAGCTGAGGAACTTCTGGTCATCCTTGGTGAGAATGAACTTGTCATATCCCTCCCAGGAGACACACTTGAGAGTCATGTTCCCTCCTGAGGTCACCACAGGGCTGGGCAGGGCTGTCAGGCTGGATTTATTGTTGTAGATTCCTAGGAGAGAAAGAGGCAGCCTGTTTCATGGACTCACACAGCCATAGTGTTCTCCAGGACTAGGCTGAGGGAGGGGATTACTCCTGAGAACAGAGCCTGGGGCTGAGACCCTGACTGTCCTCTCACCTGTCACCACCATTTCCAGGGTGTCACTGGGCTCTGACCAGCCACCTGAGCTGTAACAGTAACAGCGATATTGTCCCCCATGTTGCTGTGTCACAGAAGGGATGGAGAACTTGGCCTTGTTCTCAGGCTTCTCTAGGGTCTGTGTGTCCAAGGGTTTCTGTCTTCCCTCTTTATGCAGAAAACATATTTCTGCATCCAGGCTCCCCTGACACCAGATGGTCATGGGGCTTCTGTAAGTGATCACAGAGCCTGGCTCAGCCTTGATGGTGGGTTTGTGGAGGGTCCCTGCAAGGAAGTGGGAGAGAAGTTGTGTCTGCCTGAAAGTGGTAGAGAGAAAGTCACAGTTGTGGATGTCACTTTTTTCTTTTTAATTTATTCTTCTCTCATACAATACGTCCTGACAGCAGCCTTCCTATATCCCCTCTCCTTGAAATCCACTGCTCCTTTGTTTTTTCCCTTTAGAAAGGATCAGGCCTCCCAGTGATATTAACTGAGCATGGTATAACAGCACGCAACAAGACTAGTCAAACCCTCATATTAAGGCTGGACAAGGAAACCCCGTTGGAGGAAAAAGATCTCACGTGCAGACAAAAGAGTCAGAGGCATCACCCTTCCCATTGTTATGAATCTAACAGAAACTCCAAGCTAGTCAGGCAGTGTTAGTGCATGCCTTTAATCTCAGCACTCAGGAGGCAGAGGCAGGCAGATCACTGTGAGTCCAATGCCAGCTTGGTCTACAGAGTGAGTTCCAGGATAGACTGTGCTACACAGTCAAACTCTTAAAAAAATGGAACAACAACAACAAAAAAGCAAAAGCCCAAGGTAAACAAGCACAGCGTGTGTTGAGAGGGCCTAGGGCAGACCCGTGCAGGCTCCATGGTTGCTGTTCCAGTCTCTGTGAGCCCTCATGATCCCTGCTTAGTTGATTGTGTGGTCCATGTTCTCCTGATGTCCTGAGTGCTCTGGCTCCTGCAACCCTTCCTCCCTCTCTTCTGTGGGTTTCCCCGAGCTGTTGTGGATGGCACATGAGCTGATCCAGAGTAACAGAAGGGCCCATAAGGATTCATCTCTGTCCTGGACCTCCTGGGCTTTGCTGTCACTCTCTGCCTTGGATTCTGTTTCTTGTGTCCCACTCTCTACCACGCTCTGTGTCATGGGCTCAGGAGCCCTGGAATTTCACACACACCACACACCAAGACCTCCCTGAGCATCTGTATCATTTCAGCATCATTCTAGGGAAAGGCTGGGGTTCTTCACCTGAGACCAGGAGCTCCAGGGGGTCACTAGGTTCTGACCACTCCTGTGGTCTGTTCCTGTTGAAGCTGTAGCATCTGAATGTCCACCTTTGTCTGGAGGTCACAGGGCCCACAGAGAACAGGGCCTGGAACTGTCTAATATAGCGGTTATACTGTGAGTCCAACATCCAGGAGAGCTTCTGAGGTCCTTCCTTCATCATAACAAACCTGTCATATTGCTGCCCTGAGACACACCTGAGGGTGACATTCCTTCCTTCAGTCACCACAGGGCTGAGCTGGGATGACAGGCTGGGTTTACTGTAGACTCCTAGTAGAGAAACAGGAATCAGTTAAATGTATCAGGTCTCCTTATCCTCTATGGCTGTGAGGTGGAGGTAACCCTGTTAACAGACCCACCTCTTGACAGTCAAGCCTGAGGCTGGGGAGCCTATGTGTCCTCTCACCTGTCACCACCAGCTCCAGGGAGTCACTGAACTCTGACCACCATTCATTATGGATTTGATATTGACAACGATATCGTCCTGCATGTTTGTGGTCTGTTTTTGAGATTGAGAATTCAGCCTTGTCCTTAGGATTTTGTAGAAACTCTAGGGGCTTTAGTGTTTGGATTTCCTCTTTGTAGAGTCTGTATGCTTTGGCTCCTGTGGTCCCCTCACAAAAGAAGGACACTGTAGTCTGCTTGTGGACCACAGAGTCTGGCTGTACTGTGAGGATAGGTTTAGGGAGGGTCCCTGCAAGGAAAAGAACATCTAGGATTCAGGACAGCCATCAGATTGCATTTCCCAACCCCAACCCTCCAGCCATCCCCAGGGTTAGCACACATGTGTTGTTCTCCATCCTCACTGCCCAGGCATGGCTGCAGGAATGATGAGAAGTGAAGGTCAGGACATCTGCAGATACTCACTCACCTGCCAGCACTGGGGTCCTGAGGCCCAGAGTCAGTCCTGGAAGAGAGTTCCCTGTGAGAGGTTTGTCCCTGAAGCTTGAGCAGATCCTCCCCTCTGCAGAATCTCCTGAGACCCTGGGGCTTCCTGATGGACCAGTGCTGGGCTGTGTAGGTGAAGGTCATTCCTGGACCACAGTATCCCCTCCCCCTCTGCACATCTCACCCAGACAGAGCAGGGCTGTGAAGGTGAAGGTCATGGCGTCTCCTCCTGGAGGCTGCAACTGTGCTCATGGGCAGAGCTACAGAGTCTGTCTGGAGGGACAGGAGACACTGGGTGTGGCCTCTGGAGGCAGGACACTCCCTATGACATGGTTGTACTTCAGCAGTCCCACAGGAAGGGGAAGTGCCCTTCTTAGGCACCAGGTTCTGACTTCCTCAAGGCTGTGGCTAGGTCAGGTAGTAGACTCTGCAATCAATTCTTTGTTTCATCTGTCCTCATCTTTGTCTGTTCCAAGTGGAACTGACAAACTAACAGACATATCTGAATATTACACACAAGAAAAAATTTACAAAAGGGTTTGCTTTATTTCTTTTCACATTTTTTATGTGAAATACTTCTTCGTTTTCAAAATATTTGCAGGTGTCTGTGAAGGGTCTCAGTGTGTACATATGCATGGAATAAAGTTTATAATCCTCTTCCTCATAGCCTTAGGTGCTGTGTTACAAATGTGCACCTCTATTTCTGGTTGGTTGTTCATTTTTTAAAATCTTTTTTTCTTTTTTTTTAAATTAAGAAATTTTTTCATTCATTTTACACACTAATCAAAGATCCCCCTCTTCCCTCCTCCCTCCCTCCCCCTGCCTTCCCCTCTCACTGCACCCCCCACTCCCACCCACAATAAGGCAAGACCTCCCATGGAGAGACACATCCAGTAGAGTCAAGTCCAAGCCCTTCCTCCTGCCTCAAGGCTGCAAGAGGTGTCCCATTATAGGCAGTGGGCTCCACAGAGTCCGCTAATGCCCAGAGATGGATTCTGATTCTACCGCCAGGGGGCCCCCCAAGCAAATCAAGCCACACAACTGTCTCGCAATGCAGAAGGCCTAGTCCAGTGCCATGCAGGCTCCCCAGCCATTGATCCAACTTTCATGAGTTCCCTCTAGTTTGGTTTGGTTGTCCCTGCAGGTTTCCCCATCATGATCCTGATGCACTTCCTCATAGAATCCCTCTTTTTTCTCTCTTTGACTGGACTCCTGGAGCTCTGCCTGGTGTTTGGTTGCAGATCTCTGCATCTGTTTCCATCAGTCATTGGAGAAAAGTTCTATAACGACAGTCAGGGTATTCACCAGTCTGATCTCTTGGGCAAGCCAGTTCAGTTCGGGCACTCTCTCCACTATTGCTAAGTAGCCCAGGCTGGGGTCATCTTTGGGGATTCCTGGCAGCTTCTCTAGCACCGGGTTTCTCTCTATCCCCATGATGTCTCTCTATCATGGTATCTCTTTCATTGCATTCCCTCCTCCCTCTCTGTTCCAGCTCAACCATCTCATTCTCTTGTGTTCTCATCCCCTATCCCCTACCCTCCATTGCCCACCCCTCATCTGCAGTTTACTCATGGAGATCTCCTCTATTTCCCCTTTCCAAGGCAGCCCATGTGTCTCTCTTTAGGTCTTTCCTGTTAGTTAGCTTCTCTGGAGTTGTGGGTTGTTGCCTGATTAACCTTTGCATTATATCTAGTATGAGTGGGTACATACCATGTTTGTCCTTCTGAGTCTGGGTTACCTCACTCAGGATGATATTTTCTAGTTCCACCCTTTTGCCTGCAAATTTCATGATGTCATTGTTTTTCTCTGCTGAGTAAGTACTCCATTGTGTATATGTACCACGTTTTCTTAATCCACTCTTCAGTTTAGGGGCATCTAGGTTGTTTCCAGGTTCTGGCTATTATGAATAATGCTGCTATGAACATAGTTGCACATGTGTCCTTGTGGTATGGTTGAGTATTGCTTGGGTATATGCAAAGGATAACCAGACGACAACCCACAGCTCCAGAGAAGCTAGCTAACAAGGAAGACCCAGAGAGAGATGCATGGATCACCCTGGGACAGGGAAATAGATGAGATCTCCATAAGTAAACTGGGGATGAGGGGTGGGCAATAGGGAGTAGGGGATGGGGATGAGAACATAAGGGAATGGGATGGTCAAGTTGGAACAGGGATGAAGTGGGGAAACAATGAAAGAGATACTGTGATAGAGGGAGACGTCATGGATATAAACAGAAAGCCGGTGCTAGTGAAACTGACAGGGATCCCCAAGGATGACCCCAGCTTGAACTACTAGCAATAGTGGAGAGGGTACCTGAACTGAACTGGCATGCCTCAGAGATCAGATCGGTGAATACCCTGACTGTCATCACAGAGTTTTTCTCCAGTGAGTGATAGAAGCAAATGCAGAGATCCACAGTCAAATACCAGGCCAAGCTCCAGGAGTCCAGTCAAAGAGAGAGAAGATGGATTCTATGAGGAAGTGCATCAGGATCATGATGGGGAAACCTGCAGGGATGACCAAACCAAACTAGAGGGAACTCATGAAAGTTGGATCAATGGCTGTGGAGCCTGCATGGGACTGGACTGGGCCCTCTGTATGGCAAGACAGTTGTGTAGCTTGATCTGCTTGGGGGCCCCCCTGGCGGTAGCATCAGAATCCATCCCTAGTGTATGAGAGGGCTTTTTGGAACCCACTACCTATGGTGGGACAGCTCTTGCAGCCTTGACGCAGAGGAGGGGCTTGGACTTGCCTCTACTGGATATGCCTCTCCATGGGAGACCTTGTCTTCTTGTGGGGAGGAGTGGGGGGTAGGTTGGGAAAGGGAGGCTGGGGCAGTGGATGGAGGAAAGAGGGGGATCTTTGATTGGTGTGTAAAATGAATGGAAATTTTTTCTTAATAAAAACATAAACTTGTATTTGTTTTTTGAAATATTCATATATGCCTGCTACCACCTTTTTCTGAGTGTAATGATGACAGATGAAGGAGACATTGGTGGGGTTGTGAAATTATTATCTGCTGATGGCTGTGTCAAAGAAGCAGCAGGTGGCAATTGACTTCAGCGGATCAGCCCAGCAGCATGCAAGGCACTGATGGGTAAATCATGGATAGACATGGCCCTCAGGGCTTCGACCCTATATGTCTCTTGCTACTACTATGCCTTTATATGTTTACCACTGCCATTTTCCCCTGGTATCCAGCATGGTGTGACTGGGTGTGGGGAGATCCCCACTGCCTTTACTGCAGTATGATCATCTCTTGGAAATACCTCATTCTACTAGGCATTTTCACCTGTGGATTATTATGAGGCTGATTTTCTCCTAAGCTGCACTGTTTAACTGGAGCGATGATTTTATATAACAATAGTGTTAGTTTAAATTGGATTTTGATGATTGAGGGTCTTTAATAAATATAGTAAGGGATTATGATAGAGATTAGCTTAGTGGGAAAACTGATATAGGTAAAAGCAAGATATGGTGAGCCCCACCCCTGATGAAGAAGTGGCTGCTGAGGATAGAAAAGAAGAACAAGGAAATGTCATACAGCTAGTTTCTTTTGAGGAGGCATATAGACTGTGAATTAGGTTAATGATTAAGGAAAACAGTTGAGTCCCAGAAGCCCAGCTACCTCAAGTTCTTTAATCTTAATGTTGAGAGATGTGTTCACAGGTTTTGGCGTGCAACACAGCTAAAACAAAGCTTTAAACAATGACTTAATGTTCAGTTTAGATGTTTGTGTTAATGTCTTTGAGGTGAAAAAAAAACTTGAAAAACAATTTAAAGCCATGCTTTTAATAGCTGAGGAAGGGCCTCGCTGAGATTAAGAAACAAGTACAATGACAGCCTGGCTAGGCTGGCTGACATACCTTTCTTGCTAAGGTAGAATGATGATTAATTCCTTGTAACCATTCCTGCCCTAACTTCCTGTTATAAAAAACTGTTGATGAATGGATATGCACCCTGAAGATTTAAAGTAGAGATGACTGATCCTTTTTCATATATAAAAGTTTAGATTTGTGATTCTTCTTATACGATTACCTTTTGAGATAAGTAATAATATGATTGCTCCTTTCTTTGTAACTACAAAATGCAGCCTGCCCATAAAAGAACTGGCTGAGAAAAGTGCCTTGCTTGCTTACACTTTGTTAATCTATAAAAAAAATTGCTTGGGCATAAATGTATGTGGGTTCCTGGGAATAATTTGTTTTTCACTTGTAATGCATAAAATTCTTAATCATGTAAGGTATATGGTACACATGTTGGCTTTTACTTGTTTTACTTGTAATCATTCACTTGAAAAATAGTATGTAACCACACTGTAATTTTTATACTGCTTGGGAGATTTTGCTGGGGTATATAATCTGTGAGGGAAAAATAAAATTAGAAGGAAGGCAGCAGGGTAGAAGAACAGAACAAAAAAGGAACAGAGTAGAGCAAGTAACAGTAAAAATAATGAAATGAAGAGCTAAGCTCTGGCCCTCAGGAAAGTCCTCGTGTGTCTGTTTATCTTTCCAGTAGTTCATGTGCTCTATATCTCCTCTTCAATTTCTCTGATCTGCTGAAGGCTTGCCATTCATCAGCACCCTGGGTGAGATCCTGACATTTTGGAGATGTGTGTGTGTGTGTGTGTGTGTGTGTGTGTGTGTGTGTGTTTTCCCTTTTTACCAGCCCCACAGAGTTAAGTTTTGACTCCCTAGCTGGCTCCAGAGAATTAAGTTTTAGTCCCTCAGATACAGAAGTCAAGTTGAGTGATTAGTTTGCTTACTCTGTTTGCTCCCACTCAAACTCTGAGCTGCTGGAGGCTGGTCCTCATGACAGTGGTAGTTGTCTATGTAAAAATGAACTGCAGAGAGTGTACCACCCTAGCCTAGCCACAAAATTGGGGAAGTCACAGCTGGGTGCATGAGTTCCCCTTTCTGTGGGTTTCCTGAAGAACAGACTCAAAACGTCAAACCCTATGTTTCCTGTCCCTCCAGCTAGGCTGTAGTTCTGCCCAAAAGCACAGTTCCAGCCTCTGCAAGGAGATGACAGACTTTAGCCTTCACAGTCCTGCTAGGTCCAGGTGAGATGTGAATAGTGGTGGAGGATTCTGTGATCAAGAAATGAACTTGTCCCACAGCCAAACACTGGTCCATAAGGAAACACAAGGGTCTCAGGAGTTTTTTCAGAGGGGAGGACCTCAAGCTTTAGGAACAAACCTCTCACAGAGAACTCTTT